TCACCTGGGAAAATGTACCAGCCGAGCAGGTGAGATCGACTTACAATCAAAACATTTTAAAACATCACTGTTAATGTTTTCAGAGATTGATTAGATAGGCATGCCAATTATGATTATTGATTGTAGATTGTCATTGTTGATATTCTGAGAAAACCCTAAACAATGTTTTGTAAATGCATAGAGAAATAGTCCACAAAGGAGTACAAGATTGTAACAAAAATTAATCTTATTTCAATTGCAGTTGCATTAATTAGGAATTTGTTACTTTGACGTGATTGTTTTTTTGGCCATTGTTTTAGTAAAGTTTACCTTCCTTGACTCAAGGTTGAGGAGGAGGTGATGAGAATGATTATTCTACATCCAGATATACATGAGCTGGGAATTTGATGTAGGTATAGGTTTTCCTCTACTAGTAATTTCAACATAGATACAAAAGGATTTAGCAGGGTTATCAAGAAAAATGGAAAATCTGTGATAAATGAGGCTATTGTGGTTGTCTACCTGTATTATTTATATACCTGTCGTTTATCCACAGTTTACCTGTTGTCGTTGTTTACCTGTATTATTTATATACCTGTCACTTATCTACAGTTAACCTGTTGTGGTGGTCTACCTGTATCATTAATGTATCTGTCGTTTATCCACAGTTTAGCTGTTGTGGTCGTTTACCTGTATTATTATTGTATCTGTCATTTATCCAATTTACCTGTTGTAGTTGTCTACCTGAATTATCAGTGTACCTGTTGTTTATCCATAATTTACCTGTTGTTGTGGTTGTTTACCTGTATTTCTAATATACCTGTTGTTTATCCATAGTTTACCTGTTGTTGTTTACCTGTATTATTAATATACATGTTGTTTATCCATAGTTTACCTGTTGTTGTTTTCCTGTATTATTAATGTATCTGTTGTCTGTCCATAGTTTACCTGTTGTTGTTTACCTGTATTATTAATATACATGTTGTTTATCCATAGTTTACCTGTTGTTGTTTGCCTGTATTATTAATACACCTGTTGTTTATCCATAGTTTCCCTGTTGTGGTGGTCTACCTGTATTTTTAATGTTCCTGTTGTTTATCCATAGTTTACCTGTTGTTGTTTACCTGTATTATTAATATACCTGTTGTTTACCCATAGTTTACCTGTTGTTGTTTTCCTGTATTATTAATGTATCTGTTGTTTGTCCATAGTTTACCTGTTGTTGTTTTCCTGTATTATTAATACACCTGTTGTTTATCCATAGTTTACCTGTTGTGGTGGTCTACCTGTATTTTTAATGTTCCTGTTGTTTATCCATAGTTTACCGGTTGTTGTTGTTGTTTACCTGGTTTATTAATATACCTGTCGTTTATCCACAGTTTACCTGTTTTGAGATACTTGAGAATTTGGTGCTAGCCGTGGATGTGTACAAAGAGAACAGTGGGATGGTGCTGTCTGTTTTGCAATCACTTACATCGTTTGTCCGGGAGACAACAGCTGGCCGAAATTACCTGACTAAAAAGAAGGTACATATATTGTTAATAATTTATAACATGTGTTTGTGTCAGGGTAAAATACTCTTTACTTCAAGTAATGTTGATATCAAATGCCCTAATGCAGTTATTTGTTTGTAGAAAAATGAAATGTGTATTAAAGGGATGTATATAAAATTATTTTTACAGTACTGAAATCCTTACAATATGAAAAAAATAGCTGATAATTATTTAAGGGCCTAATTGTAAAGCTCTCTACCTGGACATGTCTGCACAATTGATCTTGACTGGACCTGTCTGCACAATTGATCTTCACTGGACCTGTCTGTACAATTCATCATGACTGGACCTGTCTGTACAATTAATCTTGACTGGACCTGTCTGTACAGCTGATCTTGACTGGGCCTGTCTGTACAACTGATCTTGACGGGCCCTGTCTGTACAATTGATCTTGGCTCGACCTGTCTGTACAATTGATCTTCACTGGACCTGTCTGTACAACTGATCTTGCCTCGACCTGTCTGTTCAATTGATCTTGGCTCGACCTGTCTGTACAATTGATCTTCACTGGACCTGTCTGTACAACTGATCTTGACTCGACCTGTCTGTTCAATTGATCTTGACTGGACCTCTCTGTACAATTGGTCTTGACTCAACCTGTCTGTACAATTGATCTTGGCTCGACCTGTCTGTACAATTGATCTTGACTGGACCTGTCTGTACAATTGATCTTGACTCGACCTGTCTGTACAATTGATCTTGACTCGACCTGTCTGTACTGAATATTCTCATTTAAGAAATACCTTTCAAAAAAAGGTTGCACTGATTTGCTCTATTTTGTGCTGATGACTAAACACAGCTAAATTATCAGAAAAACCACAGTTATTGTTGCAACAGTTATTTGGATAATCCATCAACATCATATCACATGGGTATAACCGTATTGTATCACACTTGGTTGACGATGTTCTGCAAATGTTGTTTATAGGTGTAGAAGACTTACTTGCTGTGGTCAACTTACTTCCATGTTTGTCAATGTCAATTCAAAGCTTCATTGGATAGGATTATTGTATGCATTTGATTCAAACACTGTGATCACTGGGATTGATTAGCCACAAAGAGGCCTTCAAGCTTCCCATATATATCAGAGGAGTAGTATATAAGGCAGAAGTTATAGCAGATCATAGTTGGTGTAAAGGAAGCGGGAAAGTTTTGGAGAGGAGACCAGTAAAATAAGGTTAGAGTACTATATACAGGTATTGTCTTGGCTAGTGTGTCCCTCTTATCGACCTGTGTAGGGTTTGGCAAGTGGTACATTAGCAATCACAGGATGTTGATTGGATACGGTGCATGAGGTGCGTCTTGGCTAGTGCATCGGCAGACGCAGTGCGTATATAGTCATACCAGAGTCTTCCTTATGATCGGGTATTAATTAGCTAGAGTGCGAAAAGTCAAGCAAGAGCAATTACTTGTTTCATAGTTGTAAAAAGTGTATGTATACATGTACATGTATTTGCAATAATTACACATTTTTAGGGCCAGATAGGATGCATACACCATCTATGTTGATAAATGTATCTAATTGTGATTTAATTCTAAATTTAGAGTATAATATGATATCATTAGGCAGGTAGTTAGCGATACATTTGTATCATAATAAAAACAAACCTTATTCATGGGGTTTTCCGAATATGATACTGGTAAGTCTGTATGCATTTGACCTTATTGTCCTGATCACATGTGAATACGTACACCATATAGCCTTATCCCAAAAAATTATCCGATCAGTAAATGTATCTTAACAAAACTGTACAAATAAAAATTTAGATGTTTATTTCTTCTTCTCATAGGTTGCCCTAGATAGAAAGACTCCAGTGTTGATTGAATATTTACTGAGGATAATTCACCTGCATCCTAGCATTGAGGCTGTTCAGACAGTTGGCTGGTAAGTCGGGACAGACAGACAGCATGCCTTAAAGTCAAGATAGACAGACAGACAGTTGGCTGGTAAGTCAGGACAGACAGACAGACAGCATGCATGCCTCAAAGTCAAGATAGACAGACAGACAGGTTGCTGGTAAGTCAGTACAGACAAACATAACAAGGACACACAGACATAACAAGGACACACAGACATAACAAGGACACACAGACATAACTAGAACAGACAGACAGGCAGACAGCATGCTGGTAAGTCAGGACAAACACATGAAGGACAGACAGACTGACAGGCAGACAGCTCTCTGGTAGGTCATGACAGACACATTGCTGGTAAGTCAGACACATTGCTAGTAGGTCAGACACATTGCTAGTAGGTCAGACAAGTCAGACAGACACATTGCTTGTAAGTTAGGACAGTCAGACAGACACATTGCTAGTAGGTCAGATAAGTCAGACAGACACATTGCTAGTAGGTCAGACAAGTCAGACAGATGCATTGCTAGTAGGTCAGACAAGTCAGACAGACACATTGCTTGTAAGTTAGGACAGTCAGACAGACACATTGCTTGTAGGTCAGACAAGTCAGACAGACACATTGCTTGGAGGCCGGCACAGTTAGACAGACACATTGTTGTTAGGCCATTCGTTTGGTAAGTCTAGGACAGCAGAGTAGGGTCACTGTAACATTGTACATTTTTAGCCCACCATCATCTAATGATGGGCTATTCAAATCTCCCTGCGTCCGTGGTCCGTCGTCCATCCTTAAACAATTCTTGTTATTGCTATTATTCAGGAAGTACCAAAGGGATCAAATTATACGTAGGTTCCCCTTGGTCCCTAGTTGTGCAGGGCAACTTTTGGGACTGATCGGATAAACAACATGGCCGACAGGCAGCCTTTCTTGGATTTTGACATTGAAGGTTTGTTATCGCTATTTCTCAGGAAGAACTGGAGGGATCTTTCCCAAGTTTGTTTTGTAGGCTCCCCTAGGTCTGTAGTTGTGCATGTTTAATTTTGAGAATGATCAGATAAACAAAATGGCCAACTGACAGCCATCTTCGATTTTTGACATTGAAGGTTTGTTAGTACATGTACTATTTCTCAGGAATATTACTTGAGGGATCTTTCTCAAATTTGATATGTAGGTTCCCCTTGATCCCTCGTTGTGCATGTTATATTTTGATTTTGTATTTTATACACAGCAGTATTAAGTTTAGATCAAAAGTTACCTCAAGGTGCATTTACTGTTAACAGGACTCGATCAAACAGATAAAAGAAAAGAGGAGAAAAGATCGAACTGACAAAAAACTAATGAAGATGGTACAATGGTGGGCGCCAAGATCCCTCTGGGAGCTTTTGTTTATTGTTAAGGTTGAATTTTGTCCTTCTAAACAGGTCCTACAACAAATTAATTTCAAGACATAAAGAGATGTAATTAAATGTTTTCTTTTTTCAGTTCATGTATTGCTCAGTTATTGGTAAGGGATATGCCATCGATAATCAGCATTAGAGCCAGTCTTGGACAGTCCCTTTGTGCAAGGCTTCTGGAAACAAACATTTCTTGTTTAAACAATTCTTCAAATAAGAAGGTAATTTCTTTTACCCTTTTCAGATGTATATGTAAAACTCTGATGCACTGACATTATTTGTCCATCAGAATTTTGGCATTATATAGAGGTTTCGTGATATATAGAGGGAAACACATAAAGGAATTATTAAGAAAAAGGAAAAGATTACCATGAAATATGTAAGCAGTAAGCAAGGCTAGAAATGCTTTTATCACATAACTGACCCATTTTACTGTGTCATACGGCCATGTCATAAATATGGTATTACACACGTGTAGTTAAACCTAAAGGAGCTGTGATTGGTCAAAACCGTGAGATCATATTCCTTCGCCACTACGAGTACTGCTTTTATTTACTATATAACATCATACATATACTATTGTTCTAAATGAATTAGAAATGATTATTTTATTTTTTTCTAATTCCAATTAAATTTGTTCATTATTAAAATAATAAACTGGGTCAACTTTGTCCATAAGCGGAACAACAATATTATGATCAGAGACCTTTGGTTTTGATGTATGTGGAGTCAGCTGAAAATACATAATTGCATTTGTAATTTTTTTTTTCAAATTATGATTCTTAATATGTGATAAATAGAAGCCTAAAGGCTCGTGTCATATCAAATAATTTAACTCGTTTAATAAATTCAATATGACATGAACACTCCTGTAAGATCCTCTATTTATGTAACAGCACGTCATTAAAAACCAAAATTATGCAAATCAATATGGTAATAGCTGGTTGATTATAATCCATATATTACTGTTTTGAACGTGGGATTTTAGATTCCATGCTTAGGTTCCTGTTAAACTCCATTCTTGCGACATTGATACATAGAGATAATACATTGTACTCCATCCTATGTAGGGGCTCTGAGGGCTAGGGCCAAAAGTGGTTAAATTGGCTTAAATTTCAAGGAAAGTAGGGAAATTATACATTTGGGTATTTTAGTTCATTTTCAGTTTGAAATTCAAAACCGGTTGGAATTACATTGTATATATGCATGAGAGGATGGTAGATGCTATGAATATTTAACCGTAACCAACCCCAAGGGGCTGAAGGGTGGGGCCCAGAATGAGGAGTAGGAGGTGCTAAAAAAAATTGACCCAGACATGCTAGAATCAAATACTCTCTAGTCTTAAATCTGCATGCTAGACAATGAATAAGGCAGTTCTGGTGTTTTTATGCTCCCCGAAAATGTTTTGGGGGAGCATATAGTTGACGCTTAATCTGTCCATCTGTCCTTTTCATGTCCGGAGCATAACTTTACCCACATTTAAGCAAGGATCATGAAACTTGTGGTGTATATATATCACTCGTACTAAGACGATGTGCACTATGTCCAGTGACCCACAACCCCTTATTTATAGAGTTATTGCCCTTTGTTGTCCTTTGCTAAAATGTCGTGTCAATAGATTTGCCCCCATTAAAGGTAGGATCATGAAACTTGGTGTGTACATCAGTCATACTAATGTCATGTGCACAGTACCGAATTCAGGGCCCACAACCCCTTAGTTACAGCGTTAGTGCCCTTTCCCAACTAGCGGAGCATAACTTTGCCTGCAGTTAAGCTAGGATAAATGTTGGTGTGCACATCAGTCACACTAAGGTGATGTGCACTGTACCGTATTTAGGATCTGCAGCCCCTTTATAATAGAGTTATCGCCTTTTGCTAAAATATCTTGTCCGGAGCATAACTTTGCCTGCAGTTAAACTAAGATTATGAAAGAAGAAGAGGAAGAATTATAATAATAAGAAACGGGGCAAAAATAATTAGTCTTCCAAACTTCGATTGGTCAACTTAAAAACTTTGTTTGGGCAACTTAAGAATCAGTCTCATTAAAGTTAACAGTGGAAACTCTAACATGGTTTTATAGTTATTCCTTATGCTTTTACAAACATTCTCATTTGTTTACTTTACAAAGGGAAGTTTAAAAAATCATCACATCTCTTTCCGTTGAATATATAAAGAATAATAAAAAATAGAATTTCTTTTTGTCTGTCAGCTTTCTTACCATTTCATGAAATGAAATTTAAAAAAGCCTATCTTTGAATTCTGACTATCTCCCACAAAATTTAAAATGCCAAAATATTCATAGACACATAACTATCAGTGCTTATAGTAGAATACATAAATTATCAGTAAAACATGCCTTCATATTTCATAGCTGAAGCATATGCTTTGTGTCAGACACCTATGTACATGTATGTAAAGCATTAAAACATTATTTTTCTTCTTCCAAACTCCCCATTTGAACATATTTTTTACCAATATGTGTCATAAATCTAACCAAATGCAAAATTCACGAACAGGAAAAGCCTCCAATAAAGTTGTTTTCAGGGAGCATACATCAGTTCCACTGATGCTCTCGTTTAATATAATCCAATGTTTGTGTCAGTCATATTTCAAAAACAAAATATCAGAACTCAGGTGACCATTAAGGCCCATGGGCCTCTTGTTATAGAATGGATACATACACTGGTATACTTTACATCAAATGACTGACTTTAAGGTTTCAGTATTCAAGATGACTGCTTTGGTCATTAATTGGCTAAATCATTTACAGCTATAAGTTCAGTACTAATGGCCCATTGAAATTTTGTTTGGCAAAAGTGCAGCTGCTACAAACAACATCTTTTGGGATTGTGGATAGGGTGGTTTTAGGGACTACTTAATAATATCTGTTACAATTAGCACTTCTGCCCAGATTAACCCGAAAGTGACCTATCAACACCCTCGAAGTCTAAGTGATGTAATATATTGATATTGATCTACAGAAAGTCACATTGATTTAAGATTTAAGACAAAAACTGTAACAATTGTTTTTTGCAGCCCATAGCCTCTTGCCTGAAGATCTTTGGCAAGTTAAAGCTGCCCAACGATGCTGTGAGTCCAAACTTTTCCTTCTGTTTTTTGCTCCCTGCCCGAAGGGCACGTGAGCTTATGCTGTGCCCTGCGTGTCAACTTTTCACTAAAATGCCTAACTGGATTTTGACATTTGGTGTGGAGCATTGCTAGGCTAAGGGGAATCTTTTTTGTATAAATGATGGGTGTGGCCTCTCTGGAAATAGAGAGGCAGGGCCCAATCAGGGAAAGGACTTGGGGCGTTATGGGTCAATTTTGGCCTCATAAGAAGTAAAAATTTCTAATTGAATTTATTTACCAATTTCTGTTATAAACGTCTTATTGGTTAATGCGGGCTATATTTCTTGGTGAAATTTTTTCCATTGCGCATGCGTATATGCCCTACCATAGCAACAAAATTGCGTTGCGATGCAGAAATTGCCAAAATATGGTGTTTTTGGACAGTTAGCATGCAGAAATGAAAGCCTCCGCATGTAACAAACAGAAATTCCTTTCTACCAATGAACACTGGTATGACAATGTTTGAGCATGTCAAATATCTATTTATTTGTTGCATGCAAAGGCTTTCAAAATTTGAAGAGCGTTTAGTTAGTTTCCTTCAAATAGCAAATTTTCAACCAAATAGTGCAAAACAGACGATATTCACGCATTTTATTACGAAAATGCAGGTTTATGTGTCTCTTTGTAATGCCATATCTCCTAAACAAGTTGTTGAATGAATTTGAAATTTCATATTTACGTAACTCATTTATTCCAGATTACGAATTTAACAACTAATTCTAAATCCCTATTGAGGCCAGAAATGACCCTTAACGCCCCTAGTCCTTTAGGTAAATCTTCAAAATCCTATTTCTTGACCTTCAGTAAAGGGATTTTAATCTAGATTGGTCTGGAGCATCATGGGACCGAGAGGATTCAACTTTGTATAAGTGAAGGGTGTGTTAATCTCAATTGGTCCAAATATGTTCTTGAAATATATTTGTCTGTTTCATATAAAAACAAATTTAGCAGATGAGCTGTTGAGGCCCCTTGGGCCTCTTGTTACAAATGTTGTTTTATTTAGGTTTATTGATAAAGGCAAATACATAGATATATTGTCCTGATTTGTTTTGTTTTGCGGCCAATCAACAATCTGAGTAACCCAGGGCCAAACAATACTAAAAATAGACACTCACAAAAATGGGATATATCAAACTTGAAATAAAAGGTTAAAATGTTTAAAAGATGCAGATTGGTAGTAAATCTTGATATATCCTATTTGTAAAAATTAATTGAATGCAAATAATATCTTTGGCACAGAAACTGTATCAAACAAATTTTTCATTGTTGTTGTATTATAAAAAAAATTGACACATCTGTGTTATATAAATACAATTTCTATTGCTTGTTGTGCATAGCTAGTTGTTGGAATATATTTTCTCTAATGGGTCCGAAAATACCTTATTATAGAATTTTCCTACATTTGTTGTGTATTCATGTATTAATTAAAATGTTTTCCAGAAATACTGCTACAGTATGAAGCGGTACATAAAGAGTGTGTTGGACAAGTTCTGTAACTCTGAGGACACTGCCTATATGGGTCATAACTTTGAGACCTATGCCATGGGTCTGATGAGAACTGCTATTGACTGTGACGACCATGAAACTAGGGACTTCTTAGGGCAACAGGGATTCATAGAGGTAATGTACAGAAAAATGTAGGGCTATGACATAAGTTAAAGTCATATCGTTCTGTAAAAAAGAAATTAGAAAATTCTATTCTAAACATTTGTAATTGTTTTTATTCCAGTTCCTTCTGTCAGTAGCCAGAAGGAAAATAACCAACTGTACCATTTTACCATGGCAGTGTCTGTGGGGACTGACAGGTGAGTTTTGGTTAGGTCAAAGGTCAAGTATTTTGTATTTAATTTAACAGTTATAGTTACTGGTGTCTCTTTGGTCAGTGAAATAAAAGGAGTTGTATTAATCAAAATCTTCAAAAGTTATAAATTATTTTTTAAATCAAATGATTCAACACCACAATTTTTAGCTTACCTGGCCCGAAGGGTCCCGCCCCCTTCATCCTCCAACGTGCTGTTCTTTAGATTTTAAATGAATAATGTGTAGATGTAGGGTGTAGCCCCCCTTGGGGCAGAGTGATGGGGCCCAATAGGGGACATTTAGATAAATCTTCAATATCCTTCTCCTTCAGTTGATTAGAGGAATTTTAACCAAATTTTGTTTACGGCATCTTTGAGTAAAGGGGACTCAATTTTGTATAAATTGATGGCGTGTCCCGTCTTGGGGAAGAAGGGCAGAGCCCAATAGGGGAATTGGAGGTAAATCTTTTCATGGTTGCTTTATTATCCAGGTGAGCGATACAGGCCCTCTGGGCCTCTTGTTTAATGATGCATACAACTGCTCATTCTACGTGTTGCAGGCGTTTTATGTAGTACCACTTTGCGGTAACCATATTTTTGTGTATATTTCCATCTACAGATGAAGAGCCTTCTAATTGCATGCGATTCCTGGCTGTACCAGATGCCCTCCATTTGTTCCTCGAGTGCATAAAGGTCAGACACTAGTTTATACAAAATATTAGGCTCGGTTACATCAGAATATACCCACGTTAATACAACTCTGTTTCACAGTTTGAATTTATTTTCTATTTATATAATTATGCCAAATCGTGGCATCTATCATCTGTCCGTCAATTATTTCTTCTAACATTTTCATCTTCAGAACCGATTCAAGAATTTTACAAATCAAGAGGCTGACCCCTTAAGGAGCTGAGGGGCACGGCTAAAAGGGGATAATTTGGCTATATTGACTTAAATGACTTTCTCTCTTAAACTGAGATTAGGACATCAATTATATTTGGTTAAAAGCATTCTCAGGTGGTGGGGATTTGATTAATGTACAAATGCAGGTGTTGTTGGGTGGCAGAGGGGAGGGACCAATAGAGGGTAATTTGACTTATTACTTTAAGCGACTTCTTCTCTGAAACTGAGAGTTGATATCAACCATATTTGACTGGAAGCAATTTTATGTAGTGGGGACTCAAATTTGTACAAATTGAGGGGCTGACCCTCCAGTAGGCTAAGAGGCGGGCAGAAAAGGGGGAATTTGATCATACATGTATTGATTTAAGGAATTCCTCTCTGGAACTTAGGATAGGATATCAGTTACATTTGGTTGAAAGCATTTTCAGGTGGTGGGGATTTAAAAATGTACAAAGAGGTGGCTGCAGGGAGGGACCATTTGGGGGTAATTTGGCATTATTGCTTTATGCGACTTCTTCTTTGGAACTAAGAGATGGATATCAACCATATTTGACTGGACGAATTTTCACATGGTTAGTATTCAAAAGTGTACAAATGGAGGGACTGGCCCCTTCAGGAGCTGACGAGCGGGTCCAAAAAGGGGAAATTTAGCTATATGGAAAGCAACTTCTTCTCTGGAACTAACAGATGAGTGTCAACCAGATTTGGTTGGAAGCATTCTCAGGTGGTGGAGATTCAGAATTGTACAAATGGAGAGGCTGAAGGAGGAGCCAAAATGGATACTTTGGCCATATTGCTTTGTAGCTTCTACTCTGCAACTTATCAATGGTATTTGGTTGGAAACATTCCAAGGTGGTAGGGATTCAAGTTTTACCAGTTGAAGGGCTGATCCCTAAGGGGTTAAGGGACAGGGCCAAAACAAATGATTTAATTCTGGGGTCTGGCCAAATCCTTAGGGACTTAGTCATGGGGTCATAACTTGAAAACCTTTGAGACCCTAACTCTGATATAATATATCCAGTTGCTAAGCTTGAAGATTTGGATACACATATGCTTGCAAGATTGACACAGGGCCCTATCCATGAGACTTTTTTTTTGCCATACTACTTTCATTGAGGATCTTTTGTCATGATTGCATATATATATCTTCAGGTGAGCAATACAGGCCCTCTTGTCTTATTTATAATATGCAGTTTGTTTTCTGTTTTCTAGAACAAAAAACATGATGAATCATTTGTGAAAGGTCTGCTTGGTGTCATGGTAAGAAAATGATTTTTTTAATCTGTCATTTTTAGCTCACCGGGTCAGAAGGACCAAGGTGAGCTTATGCCATACCGTGGCGTCCGTCGTCCGTCGTCCGTCGTCCGTCCATCAAATTCATCATTAAACGACTTCTTCTTCTTAACCACTGATTTGACTGGAAACATCCCTAGGTGGTGGGGATTCAAAATTGTACAGATGGTGGGGCTGACCCCCCAGGGGGCTGAGGGGCGGGGCAAAAAGGGGGCAATTTGGCTATATGTCTTTAAGCGACTTCTTCTCTGGAATAAAGAGATGGATATCAACCATATTTGACTGGAAGCATCCCTAGGTGGTGGGGATTCAAAATTGTACAAATGATTGGGCTGACCCCCCAGGGGGCTGAGGGGCATGGCCAAAAAGGGGTAATTTTTCTATATTTCTACAAACGACTTCTTCTGTAGAACTATGCACTGGATATCCATCATATTAAATCAAAAGCATTCATGGGATGCAGGGATTCAAAATTGTACAAATGGTGGGGCCGACCCCCCGGGCTAAGGGGTGGGGACCTCAGGTTACGCGGCGCCTGTCAAAAGTTTTTCGCCGTGGAAAACCTCTAACATTGTTGGAGTAGGGGTCTGCCCACAACCGTAGGGACCTAGTTTCTGAGTCACAGCTTGGAAACAGTTGAGATCCCCACCCTATAACCATATAGACAATTGCTGAGTATAAAGAGATGAATGCACATATGCTTCCAGGATGGCCTTGGGGACTGCCCCACCCTTGGAGACTTAACCCCTGGGTCATAACTTCGAAATGGTTAAGATCCCCACCCCAAAACTATATATACAAATATTGGGCAAAAAGAGACAAATGCAGTCATGATATTAGAATTGATCCTGGGGTCTGCCTACTCCCATAACATGAGAGGCCGCTGGTCGGCCTTTTTTCAATCGGATATGATTTTGCCGACTGCGACGCCTGTCAAAAGTTTTTCGCCGTGTAAAACCTCTAAAGCATTGTTGGAATAGGGGTCTGCCCACAACCGTAGGGACCTAGTTTCTGAGTCACAGCTTGGAAACAGTTGAGATCCCCACCCTATAACCATACATAAAATTGCTGGGCATGAAAAAAAAACAGATATATATATACTACAAGGATTGGCCTTGGGGTCTGGCATATTCCCTTGGATCTCATTTGGAGAATATTTTGCCATGATCGCTTAGATATCCAGGTGAGCGATACAGGCCCTATGGGCCTCTTGTTTAATATTGCTTGCGATGTATTGTGTGAATACAAAGCAACAAACATGTGTTATGGGCGAAATCAGACTCACTGACACTGTGTTGTCAGTGGACAGCATAGTACTGTGCATGTTTACTTCTCATTGAAAGGCCCAGATATTGCACTATTTTGGTTGTAGCAATATTTCCCAACAGAAAAACTGACCACACTGGATATTTGCTTCAGGTGATGTCATTATCAACTACGTAGAGTTTCGTACAGATGTATATATCTTCAGTATCTAATCGATTTACATAGTGTTATTTGACTAAATAGCCCCTTTAAGCCTCCAATATACCCTGTCACGATAACATACATCATAAATTTTGATTGACACAAAACCACTGAGCAATGGATCCATTTTCCTTTTCTTTATTTCTTAAAAAATACAAATTGTAATTTTTAAAGTTTGTTACAGTCAATTCTTTTTGTTCTACTCTGTCAAGTTGTGTTTCATTTAAAAAAATTGCCAAGTACCATCATGTCTTAGGAATTGTTTTCACTTATTGTAGTGTATTTTGTGGTTTGTTGACAGGTGAATGTGTCGATGTTCTCCGAGCTAAGGAAGGAATTACTAAAAAACGAGGATATGATTGTGATTATAAGGTATGGGCCCAAAACTGAAATATGGATTTAGAACATGTACTCAAAACTTAACTTTTTGAGTCCTTTTTTGCCTGAAATAATTTTCCAAATAAAGTTCTGAATAGACTTTGGATCCTTGAGAATATTCTGGAAAAGTTGTGTAGGCCACATTCGTTTATTGCGATACAAACGGAAGAACGGGTGGTAGACCTAGTAATCTGATGCTGCTTTCAGGCGATTCTTGACAAAGCCTTTCACAGCCTGCATAAACATTTGCAGGTCTGCCAGGATTTATACCCGAAAATGTGACATAAAAAAACGACAAACTGGTTTTTTACCTGATAGGCCTTTGTGTCTTTATATTTGGGAAATGATTTCTCGTTTCTTTGCTTAAATTTTCTTAGATGTTATGTCGCTGTTTAGGTTGGAACTACTTCAGTAGGTCTACTCCTATTGTTATCACAGAATTGCTCGCAGTCATCAGCCGAATCCTGTCCAATGATTGGCAGAATTTGGCAATTTCCACCACCACGCCCCCTCTGATTTAGTTCCAGATTACCGCCTGATTTCAAAATAAGATATTCCTAACTTTAATAAGAACGGAATTTGCGTCAAAAACGATCTCAGTTAGTCCCTATGTAATCAAAAGTTTCTTTAATTTCTGATTTTTAAACGATTTTTTGACACAGAGACTTGGCAGATTCTAAAGTAATGGAGGTAGGGGTTAATTACAAAGCAGCCTGTGTGATGGCCTACCTGGTCAGTGATGGTCCGGAGGCCTGGATACTGGACAATCTTGACCGTTCTTCTGTCCTGTGTAAGATTGTGACTGCTGTCCACCGCTGGGACATCTCCAACGACATGGAAACTGTGTATAGGTCAGTGAGGGTTGATACTGGAGACAAATATTACGTACCTCAGACAAAAATTCTACTCTGCAATGTTCCAAGTTTATTTACTGAGTGTTGAATTGGCGCTCCTGTTCGAGATTGTGCTTTAATACTTTAAATACAATGACCCAGATACCACATATTGAATTTGCCATATTTATTGGCAAAAATAGAAAGAAATAGAGGTTACTAGACCACTAATACATACAAATATACTGTCATTACATTAAGCCTACACCCGTTTTGATAATTTTATAGATACCTTGGTAATGGTCATATCTGCATGTAAATGGTGTCACCTTTTAATGAGGAAGGCTGACACAAAAGTCTTTTTCATTTTTTTTGCTGAGTAATTTACTTTGCACATCTTTTTCAATCATTGCATGTGAGACAAATACTCAGTATTATGTGCATATTGGGAAATTTTACAGTTGGAGGTTATTAATTTGAGTGAACACATTTTGGTTAGGACTACCTTCCACATAGACACATTAAAATTGTATGGTCACTAGAATTTTCCACAAAATGTCATATTGAAAATAACTGGTTATGTACTTTGTACAACAGAATTCATTTAGTATGTGTCATGTTACAGTTCCCTGCAGTCCTTCCTGGAGATGGCCCAGAAAAGTCACACCCCAGAGGCCCAGCTACTAGCTATCTGGTCTATCTGTAATCTCATCAAAACTGAAGGTAATTATAAATAATAATAATTTGAGGTTCTTCTATACCGCTTTATCACAACCTTGTTTGTAGGTCGTCTCAAAGCCGTTCACAAATTATTATCCGTGGTTATAGGGCCAATATCTTTCTCAACTCCCTGGGGAGCATACAGCCATGGCCAGTGCTGCCATTTTCGGGGCTCAGAGCTAGCATTTAACAATTCTAGCACTGCCCAACCACGTACTCATTTACAGCTGAGTAGACTGGAACAAGCGGAGTAAAGTATCTTGCTCAAGGATACCACACAGTGCTGTGCCTCAAACCCGCAACCTTTCGGTCACCAGCCTGGTATCCTACCACTAGACTACTGTGCCTCCAATATACCCTGTCATGTTTGCATTTCTACAACTAAAGGCCTGTAGTCGACAGCAGATCACACTATCAGATAACAGTTAATCCATAAAGAAACACTTGAGTAATTTCTAAACAAATCTGGTGTTCCGTTACACTTTAATGTGAGCTTTGACCAAGGTTTCAATATCTGCTGTACTTTTTGCTTAGATTTATGCTAATTAAGTTGTGTTTATATCAGTCCAGAACCAGGGCCTTCACCTTTGATATCTGAACACATCTCAGCATTATTCATCGAGAACAAGGAGCTTTTTATTTAGAACAACAGAACAGCAGGACTGTAGACTTGTTTGGTCAGCTTTTGGGGATCGATCAGTTGTTGGTCTACAATAGAGAGCTTGTGTTTATTAACCCTTTCACCACTGTAGACCATAATGGACCCATCTATATCAATGTGTGGTAGAGTCTACTAAAGTTACATAGGGGTGAAAGGGTTAAGTCCCATTGAATTTAATTGGTACAGACATGTTTTCAGTAGAGAACTAATTTCTTAGGTCTTTTCAAGTTTGTTTGATCAAAATCTTTTAATATGGTTAAATAGTTACTAAGTCCCCTGAGTTATGTATTCAGCATTTTACTGTAGAAAACTAATTAATTGGATTTTGTTGTACACATGTAAGCATGTTTCGATATTGGCAGCAACAAGGTAATCAGCCTATTACAATGTCGTGATACTTCCAGGAAATGTATACTGCCAGATGTTGAAGATGGAAGGTGGACTTCCTATAATAGAGGCCATCAAAAACGACCCAGAGACAACCCCGGAGGTTTTGGAGTTGGCTGTCATGACGATGGACCTCGTTAGCTAAAAGGACATTCCTGATAGTGATGATACTGTGAAGAGTGCCTTGGGAAAAGCTTAGCTATTAGATTTAATGCAACTAACTAAAGATTAAACTGTCTGACCAGATTGGATCAGGAGTCTCCTCTTTTATTAGTAATTATACATTTTCATCAATGTGTATCAGGGAAATCCAACCGTCATTTTCCATTAAGAAACTCATACATTCATGCAGTATTTTAAAAAAAAGTCTTAAAAAAAATATGTTACCATGATGTCCCTTCAATGAGATATTTATGTTATACTAATGTCAACTGGTCAAATAGAAAAATAATTGGAAGAGATGAATGAAACATGTTAAGGAGGCTTTAGATCTAAAATTTTACTGCAAATCATGTGTTGGTACTCTGTCCCAGGTTGACAGTTTCAGTTTTAGATGAGATCAATATACCTCAGCTTTATACATTCTACGTAAAAAGTAATTCATAAAATAGACCATATTCATGCTTCTGTTCTGTCTTTGCTATCAAGGGACTTAGTTCCCTATCAGCCATGTGATAGTCTGGAAACTAAAACACACCTGCAGACATTTTCAAAAGAAATAGACAATCTGATATAATAAACTTTAAACGAAGTTGAAAGCAGTTTTTTACAAGAAAGGAACTACATGATCTGAATTTTTTTGGAGCTCTGTGACAAAGTGAGTTCATTATTATCATAATTTAATTTCACCTTTTTGTTTGACGTTCAATGAAACATTCCAACCATCTCAAAGTGCCATTGGTCAACAAGAATGACACTGACTTTCTTTTGACAGTGACATTGACCTTCCGGTGATTAGCTTTGTTTACGGTAGTACATGTTTATGTTTTATTTCAATTAACTGTTTCTATGCATTGTCTCTGTTAAGCTCAATGTTTTTTAACATTTTAATGTTTCTTTTTAAAACAAATTAGGCGTGCTTGGATTGGAGCAGTTATTGTGATGCTAGTTTGATATTGATATTGACAAATAATCAATTGAATTTTATGATAGAAATTCACCAAATGCGATGACATCACAATAACTGGTTCGGGCCAAGTACATGTATAAGGTTTTTTTTTTTAATGACACAAACTATTATATGTGTATTGTAGAACTGTGATATTTGATACAAGTGACCATACTACAATTAAATGTTTTAACATGTTGTCTGGATACATGTTACAAGGATACTGGTCAAATTTTACTCAAGTGTGAACGATTTGTGAAAGGATGGGAGAAAATCACCCACACTTTGAGGTGTTTACATGGGTATATTTTTTGTTTATGACTTGTGAGGTGTATGGATCCCCCAGTTATGTTTGTGAGGTGTATACATCAAAATATATTCTGTATTATGACCATTTTGAAACAGTTGATATATGTCATAACCAACCTGAAGTTTTGTGTATTCAAATATGTTAATTCCATTATTGAATATTTACAGATAAAAAACAATAAATGGATATGTGCACTTGGCTAAAGCCTGTTAAATCTTTCTCCATTGATCTTACAGAGTGCTATGTAGAAACCTGGACTTTTTATCTAGATTTCGTATCACCCATCAATTTAAGTTAAAAGTATAAACTCTACTGTATATATATATATAAAGAGAGAAAAAGATAGAGGGGACGGAGGGAGAGACATGTACGATGAGCTAGTATTTAGAACAGCAGTGAATATGAAGGGAGATAATTCATACTGTTCCAGTAATCTAGCTGTTATACACTGTACAGAAGGTAGCATGTGTATATTTCAGTTGGATTGAACGAAAAAAATGGATTTCATGAAAAAAAATACTATGATAAAATATTGATGTATTGATTTTTTGAAGTGATAGAATTTGTGATAATTTTTATAGGTTACTTGATCATTGAATCTGATACCTTTAACAATGTCGGTGTTACCTGCCTTTACTGATATCAAAGGGTAAGAATATGATTGTGTGTTAGTAAAACCATTGTTTATGACTGTGCAACAAATTCATACCAGACACATGTTGATACAGGTACAGTTGTCGGTAAGGGCATTTACACTGTACTGTGTTGTGTCTAGTGGTCTAGGTGAAATAGCTGTAAAGGTCAAACTTTTGCCTTAGTTTTGGAAAAGTCACATAGGTTGGCAAAATTCCATAAGTGCATGTCAAGGTCACAAACCTACGACACCATTTATAATTATTGTGTGACTTCATTGACGTTGTCATGTCCAAGGTTTATACTGTGAAAGTGAAGTATCTGGCAGGTTTACACAATTCAGGTCTCAATTTGCTCATTTTTTTGAAAAGTGTAAAAAGAGAAATGCTTTTTTAATTTATAATTTCTCAGTTTTCAAGGTGAGTGCCTTTCTCAGGTGTTGAACGGTGATCAACGACATTTTGTCACATGACCTTGAATGGTCAATATTTTAGGAAATCATGTCCCAGAAGATTGCATTACCGGTAAGCTGGTAGTCACATTCCGATTGGTTACGAATATATGAAATTGTTTGTATACAAATATATTTTTAGAGCGTTTCCTTTTGATTATTATATATCAAATGTACAAACAAATCCGAATTGTCTGCTGCAGGTTAACTTTAGCCAATCATGGCTCTCTGGTGCCTTAACACCATGTGATGGGCAGAATTCATCTTGCTACAGATAATTAGATTTTTTTGTTATTTCATGATTGGTTATGTATATAAATATTTCCTTAACAGTCTAACAACTTGGAAAACAAAGAAAATATTTTAAATATTTAAGCAAAACTGCGATAAAGTTTTTGATCAATGTTTTGTTTCCTTTTGTTTTTGTTGAAATGAAAATTTTACAAATATTGACATTTCATTTACACATGTCATTCACCCAATACATTTTACAAATGTACAGAATCTGTTTATAATTTTGTTTGTTTTACATATTAAAAAAATATCATACAAGTATAATATTGTTGGTGTTAATGCCTACGTTATGTATCCCTCTTATGAAATAAATTCATAATGTCCCTAAATTCTGTTCTTAAAACACAATTATAACATATCATTATAATAGACTATTTATGAAACAACAACAAACAAAGGAGTTTAAATTCATGGCATTTATTCATAAAACAATATTTGGCAACATAGGGTATTCACACACACTGCACATGACCTAACTTTGAATTTTGAAGTCTCCACGAAGTGGCATAGACCTGACCGAAAAGTTGCATGCAGTATTAATGGTGTCCATATATGGCAAACAATATGGACAGTCTATATCCTACAGGTCTGTATGAACTGTGTACAAGTGCCTGTGACATATTTTATTATTCTAGTGGAGTCTAGGGTGGAACAGAGCAATGCAGAAGGTCAATTCTAGTTCATGACCATGTGTTGTTATTTTTCGGGTCGGTCCAAAATCCGAAGATGGCCACAATCTTAAAAAACACATTTTAAACTTCTTCTCCAGTTCCACTAGTGCCATTGAGCTCAAAATTGTTGGGGATGTTAAGGAAAGGAAGCCGACAAAGTGTTGTTATATTTCAGCCCCGTCAAAGCTTCAACATGGCATCCATAAGGAGGACAAACGTTTCTTGAATAAATGAGTCTGGTTTGACCCCTGGGGGATAGAGAGGGCGGCGCCCTAAGAAAGGAAATTACCTAAAATCCTGCTTTAAAACACTCCTCGTTAATGCCAAAAGTAGATTACAACAATTGCAGTATGAAACATCATTTAGAAACAACCATTTCTTATATAATTGAGGCAGGTTTAACCACCATTGACAGCAGGACGGGGCCTTAAAAGGAGAAATCTATTCAGATTTAGGTTTAAATGTTTTCCGATAGCTTTACTGACAAATATTTTCCCACTGCTGAACAAAACTACCATCATGGAAAACAAATTCTTCGAATATTTCATTGAAAGTTGAAAAGTTACCATTCTCCCTGCTCAATCTTTGTAGTCAGATGACCGTTTAGGCCCATGGGCCTATTGTAATTCCCCCAAGGGTATCCATTCCGTCTGTCTGTGAGGTTTGTCCCCGACACATTTTCTATATTATTTCACCTAATTACCAGATTAGGTGTACAAGGACATCTTGGGAATGGCGGAATGCAGAGTGTAAGAATAAGGTCAATATGACGTCGCTGTGACCTATGCTTTGACCTTAACTTTTGAAAATGTTTGTCCGCTGCATATCTTCTTTACTATTTCACCTGGAATAACCAGATTTGGTATACAAGGACATCTTGGGATGGCAGAGTGCAAGAATTAGGTCATTGCCGGTGGGGGACTGGATTGCCTTGAAATACTTTTCTTTGTTACTCATTACTTAAAAATGCTGCTTTATGATGTAGCATTGGTCAGTTGGACATATACCACAAGGTTCTGTGTTTGTTCGATTCTGCACGGCTGGACAGAAACCCTAAACCAATAATGTTATCTCATATTGCCCACACTGTAGATATAAGTGGGAAAAACAGAAAATGTCAGATTTTGTTGTGACAAAACTCAAAATCACACCAAGAAATAAAGATGAGCTTTGTATAAATGTTGTTTCATAAACAATCCTTAAGTATATATTTAAACTTCAATTTATGGAACAACAACAAACAAAGGAGATTAGATTTACAGCATATATCCATAAAACAATTTTTGGCAACACCGGGGTACTCGCACACACTGCACATAACCTAACCTAGAATTTTGAAGTCTCAACGAAGTGGCATAGGCCCAGCCTACAACTACTTTCATGCATTATTAATAGTGTCCATATATGGCAAATAATATGGACAGTCTATATACTATAGGGCTGTATGAACTGTGTGAAAGCGCCTGTGGCGTATGTCGTAATTCTAGTGGAGTGCATGGCGAACCAGTGTTGTGCCTAAGATTGGTTCTAGTTCATGTTGTTGCCGTTGTGTGACCTCTGTTGTCCATCAACTTTTTTTCTTTAAACAACTTCTTCTCAATAACCAAATAGGCCCAGGGTGATGATATTTTGCAAGAAGCATACTTAGATGAAGGGTTACCAAGTTTGTTCAAATGAATGACCTTCACCCATGTTCAAAGTCAATTCAATTTCAATTTCAATTTATTTCCGTAAGTTTTACAACTTAATATAGGATTTGCAATTGTACAACAAGAAGTAATTTCATATAACTAGTACATTCATCACAAATCAGCAGCAACAACATCGTCAAAATCATGACTGTCATCACTTTATCATCATCATCATTGTCGTCATCTTATAAATCGTCATCATCATCTTAAAAATAGATTTTCTCCTTAGATCTGGATGACATGGGCAGGTAAACAGAAAATGAAAAATATTCAAAGTCACAGGGATCAAATAAATAAAAAATAAAAAAACTTATTCTGACTAACCAAATTGCCTAGGGTGATGATAAGCACTACCAAGTTTGTTCAAAAGAATGACCTTCACCCATATTCAAGGTCACAGGGGTCAATTGTCTCAAAAACTTTTGAACATCTTCTGAATAACCAAAATGACCAGGGTAATGATATTTGGCCAGTGACATGCTGGGATAAAGGGCTATCAGGTTTGTACAAATAAATGACTTTGGCAAATATATATTTGAGGTCACAAGGGTCAAATTTATTTTAAAACTTTAATTTACTTCTTCTGATTAATCAAAATGGAAAGGGTGATGATATTTGGCTAAACAAACTTTCAACTACTTCTGAATAACCAAAAGGACCAGAGGAACGATGGTTGGCCAGTGGCATGATGTATGAAGCTCTTCTAAATTTGTTCAAATGAATGACCTTCACCCACATTCAAGGTCAAAGGAGTCAAATAGGTTTAAAATGTTCAACTACTTCTGAGTAACCAAAAAGGCCAGGGTAATGATATTTGGCCAGTGACATGCTGGGATAAAGGGCTATCAGGTTTGTACAAATAAATGACTTTGGCAAATATATATTTGAGGTCACAAGGGTCAAATTTATTTTAAAGCTTTAATTTACGTCTTCTGATTAATCAAAATGGAAAGGGTGATGCTATTTGGCTAAACAAACTTTCAACTACTTCTTAATAACCAAAAGGACCAGAGGAACGATGGTTGGCCAGTGGCATGATGTATAAAACACTTCTAATTTTGTTAAAATGAATGACCTTCACCCATATTCGGGTTCAAAGGAGTCAAATATGTTTAAAATGGTCAACTACTTCTGAATAACCAAAAGCACCAGAGGAACCATGTTTGGCCAGTGGCATGATGTATGTAGCATTACTAATTTTGTTCTAATGAATGACTTTCACCCAGATTCAAGGTCAAAGGAGTCAAATATGTTTAAAATGTTCAACTACTTCTGAATACCCAAAAGGACCAGAGGAACCATGTTTGGCCAGTGGCATGATGTATAAAACACTTCTAATTTTGTTAAAATGAATGACCTTCACCCATATTCGGGTTCAAAGGAGTCAAATATGTTTAAAATGGTCAACTACTTCTGAATAACCAACAGGACCAGAGAAACGATGTTTGGCCAGTGGCATGATGTATGTAGCATTACTAATTTTGTTCTAATGAATGACTTTCACCCAGATTCAAGGTCAAAGGAGTCAAATATGTTTAAAATGGTCAACTACTTCTGAATAACCAACAGGACCAGAGAAACGATGTTTGGCCAGTGGCATGATGTATGTAGCATTACTAATTTTGTTCTAATGAATGACTTTCACCCAGATTCAAGGTCAAAGGAGTCAAATATGTTTAAAATGTTCAACTAATTCTGAATAACCAAAAGGACCGGAGGAACGATGTTTGGCCAGTGGCATGATGTATAAAGCACTTCTAATTTTGTTCAAAGGAATGACCTTCACCCATATTCGGGTTCAAAGGAGTCAAATATGTTTAAAATGTTCAACTACTTCTGAATAACCAAAAAGGCCAGGGTAATGATATTTGGCCAGTAGCATGCTTGGATGAAGCGCTACAAAGTTTATTCAAATCAATGATCTTCACCCATATTAAAAGATCACAGGGGTCAAATATGTCAAAAACAATTTAAACAACTTCTTTTGAATAACCTTATTTCATAGGGTGGTGATATTTTGCAAGCAGCATGCTCAGATGAATGGCTATCAAGTTTGTTTATTTGAATGACTTTGATACAATTTCAAGAACTAGACAAGAGATTGAATCCTTCCTGTAATGTTGGCAACTGGACTCAAAGACAGAGTCTTGGAGGAGGAAGCCGGATGTCGATCTAAGCACAAAGTTCCTGCTGTGAGATGAAGATACCAATTGTACTGCTTTAGTGGGTGCCAGACATCAACATACTAGCCAACTCTACCTTAGTTTTAGGTGGGACACTCCCGATTTTGGACCCTTACATTTAGTATTTTCAACCAGTGAGTTTACTAAACTATTCTTATATTCCGAGATCTAACCATTTCATCTGAAAGAATACCAGTAACTCAAAATAGGTCATTTTAGGGTTATTTTGTCAGTAGGGGGTATATACAGACGTTTTTTATGTTTTAACCCTTTCACCCCCATGTAACTTTAGTAGACTCTACCTTGCATTGATCTAGAGGAGTCCATTATGGTCTACAGTGGTGAAAGGGTTAATTTTGAGCATGCAGAACCTCCCCCATGGAAATTTCAAAAAGTTTGCAAGTATGCATCAACTGAGGTTAAGATCAGTGAGTCTGTGGGAATTAAGAGACATCAAACTGCATCAAAGGTGATGAGGCTGACATGGACTGGACTAAAGATCGGAGTCTCAACAGTGGGAGCAGACATCAACAAAACAGAGATCGGAGTTCTTGTGGTTGGGGCAGACATTAACAGGATTGTCTTCCAAGATGTGGTGAACACAATATTATGTTTGCTTGTTTTCTTTTATCTCTGAAGGCAATACCTAGATGTCCATGCCAAGATAAGTATTGAGTGTATGACCTTCACCTAGATGTCCACGCCAAGATAAGTATTGAGTGAATGACCTTCCTGGGACTCATTTCATTCAAATAAGTGAGGACATGAACAGAATGAGGTAAGGATGTGATCATGTTTCAATTCTACACTTCTGAGAATATGATAATATGACCTTGGAATAAAATTTTGACATGTGTGACCTTGACCTTAATTTTGACCTTATGACCTTGGACCCCAAAATGTAATAAGAATCTGAATTTCATATCGAGATCATGATTTATATATCACACAAGCTGAAGATGAATGATGATTCTGATGATGATATTGTTGATGCTGATGCTGCTGATGATGATATTATGATGACAATGAAAATGATTGTGATAATGCTAAATCCATGTCCATGTGTGTATATGTGAGCATGCGTGAATGTCCTGTTTATAGTGCGCACGGTTTGGTAATCCGTGCGCACGGTTTGTCAATCCGTGTGCACGGTTTGTTAATCCGTGTGCACGGTTCGTTAATCCGTGTGCACGGTTTAGTAAATGTTTTACCATGTCCCTTCGGGGGCTCCGTATGTTTGTGTATATGTATATGTAATGAAAAACTTGGAAAAATAAAACCATTACAAAAAAAATATCACACAAGCTGGATAATTGTTTATCAGTCTATTCCCAGAAATAATAACTTCACAGGATCACATGCACATGGTTTTGTTTTGTGCTACCACAAACAGACAAACGTCTATATAATGATACACTATAATTGTGTTTCAAGCACATCATTTAAGAAAATTGTGAAATTATTTCATAGGAGGGATACATGAAGTATGCAAAACACAAACAATATTATACTTGTATGATATTTTTTTATTATGTCAAACATACAAACTTATAACCATTAAGTGAAGGATGTGTATAAATAAAATGTCAATATTTGTAAAATCTTAATTTGTAGAGAAAACAAAACATTGATCAAAACCACTATCACAGTTTTGCTTAAATATTTTACATATTCATATGGTTCCAGGTCTATAGACTGTTAAGGAAATATCAATATATACAACCAATCTTGAAATAACAATAAAATCCAGTTGTGTGTTGCAAGTTAATTTCTGCAGGGTCTTCAGTTACCAGTAGAGCTCAGCTGTGATTGGCTTATGTAAACCCGCAGCAGAACAATTTTGATTTGTTTCTATATTGGTTTTATTATGATCACAACAAAACAATTAAAACTATTCTGTATACAACCAATCTTATATAACACACTGAGTGTGCCTACCTGCTTCAATGACCTTCTGGGACATGATTTCCCAAAATACTGACCATTCAAGGTCACGTGACAAAATGTTGGTGGTTATCATTCAACACCTGAGAAAGGCACTGGGGTGGAGCTGAAAACTGGCTCCAGTCCTAACCTTGTTTTATTCTACCTTGAAAACTGAAGAAATTATAATTTCATAATTATAACTTTGTTTTCTCTTATCAAAAACCTAGTCCATAAAAGAGGGTTGTATTGATGCATTTTTGTGGGTTTTTTTCTTCTTTTTGAGCATTGGAATAATGAGCAAATTGAGACCTGAATTGTGTAAACGTGTCGGATACTTCACCTTCACAGTAAAATACCCTTGGAAATGACAACGTCAATGAAGTCACACAATAATTATAAATAGTGTCGTAGGTTTGTGACATTGACATGCACTTATGGAATTTTGCCAACCTATCATGAGACTTCCATAACTAAGGCAAAAGTTTGACCTTTACAGCTATTTCACCTAGACCACTAGACACAACACAGTACAGTGAAAATGCCCTTACCGACAACTGTACCTGTATCAACATGTGTCTGGTATGAATTTGTTGCACAGTCATAAACAATGGTTTTACTAACACACAATCATATTCTTACCCTTTGATATCAGTAAAGGCAGGTAACACCGACATTGTTAAAGGTATCAGATTCAATGATCAAGTTACCTATATAAATTATCACTAAATACTATCACTTCAAAGAATCAATACATCTATATTTTAACATAGTATTTTTTTTCATGAAATCCATTTTTTGTGTTTAATCCAACTGAAATATACACATGCTACCTTCTGTACAGTGGATAACAGCTAGATAACTGGAACAGTATGAATTATCTCCCTTCATATTCACAGCTGTTCCAAATACTAGCTCATCGTACATGTCTCTCCCTCCGTCCCCTCTCTCTCTCTCTCTCTCTCTCTCTCTCTCTCTCTATCTCTCTCTCTCTCTCTCTCTCTCTATATATATATATATATATATAACGTAGAGTTTATACTTTTAATCAAAACTAAAGGGTGATAGGAAATCTAGATAAAAAGTCAAGGTTTCTACATAGCACTCTGTAAGATTAATGGAGAAACATTTAACAGGCTTTAGCCAAGTACACATATCCATTTGATATGTTTTATCTGTAAAATATTCATGAAATGGAAAAAACATCTTTGAATACACAAACCTTTACTTTTTTAACACATTTGTGTGAAAACCTCAGATTGGTTATGAACTCCTTCATTCGTATATAAATAATTGTTACAAAATGGCCATAATTCAAAATATATTTTGATGTACTGTATAACATCAAATGTTTGTTGTGTATGAACATTCGTGGTTTTCGTGGTTGCTATGGAACCACGAACATAAATACAACGAATTTGAATGATATACGTGTCTACTGTTTGTTTACATAGGATATCCATGGAAGTTTGTACCATGAAACGATCTTAATGCCGTCAAACCACGAAGGAAAGTACCCACAAACATTTCGTGTTATACAGTATACACCTCACAAACATAACAGGGGGATCCATACACCTCACAAGTCATAAACAAAAAACATACCCATGTAAACACCTCAAAGTGTGGGTGATTTTCTCCCATCCTTTCACAAATCGTTCACACTTGAGTAAAGTTTGACCATTCCCTTGGCATTATGTATCAGAACAACATGTAAACAGGTCACATTTAATCGTAGTACGATCACTTGTATAGAAATATCACAGTTCTACCATACAAATTATAGTTTGTGTCGTTAAAACAAATTAACATATCTTCGACATGAACAGGGCCCGAACCAGCTATTGTGAAATACCAGTTATCATCTACGGCATCATAAAAAGAATATCTATCTGGACATGTTTGGTGAATTCCTATCATAAAATTGAATATTTGCCAAAATCAAACTAGCATAACAATTAATGCTCCAGTTCAAGTATGCCTATTTTGTTTGAAATAAAACATTAAAAGGTTAAAAAAAGTATTGAGCTTAACAGAGACAATACATAGAAACAGTTAATTAAAATAAAACATAAACATGTACTACCGTAAACAAAGCATTACTGGTAATCACCGGAAGGTCAATGTCACTGTCAAAAGGAAGTCAGAGTCATTCTTGTTGACCATTGGCACTTTGAGATTGTATTGGAATGTTTCAATAAACTTCAAACACAAGGCGAAATTAAATCATGCTAATAATGACCTTGCATTAATGTCAAAGAAGTCCCAAAAATTCAGATCATGTAATTCCTTTCTAATAAAAAAAAACTGCCTTCAACTTCCTTTATAGTTTATTATATCAGTCCCTGTATTTCTTTTAAAAACACCTGCAGGTGTGTTTTAGTTTCCAGACTAACACATGGCTGATAGGGAACTAAGTCCCTGGATAGCAAAGACAGAACAGAAGCATGAATATGGTCAATTTTATGAATGACTTTTTATGTAGAATGTATAAAGCTGAGGTATATTGATCTCATCTAAAACTGTGACTGTCAACCTGGGACAGAGTACCAACATATCTTTTAGATCTAAAGCCTCCTTAATGTGTTTCATTCATCACTTCCAATTATTTCTATATTTGACCAGTTGGCATTAGATCATAAATAAGTCATTAAGAAGATGAAGCAGCTATTTCCAATGCACTCTTCACAGTATCATCACTATCAGGAATGTCCTTTGAGCTAACGAGGTCCATCGCCATGACAGCCAACTCCAAAACCTCCGGGGTTGTCTCTGGGTCGTTTTTGATGGCCTCTATTATAGGAAGTCCACCTTCCATCTTCAACATCTGGCAGTATACATTTCCTGGAAGTATCATAACATTGTAATAGGCTGATTATCTTGTTGCTGCCAATATAGAAACATGCTTACATGTGTACAACAAAATCAAATTAATTAGTTTTCTACAGTAAAATGTTGAATACAATGAACTCCGGGGACTTAGTAACTATTTCACCATATTAAAAGATTTTGATAAAACAACTAAGAAATTAGTTCTCTACTGAAAAATATATTTTTACCAATTAAACCCAATGGGACCAAATAAACCTAAGATCTCTATAGATTATAAAGCAACAACTCATCCATCCCAAGTTGCTGATCAAACCACTCCACAGTCTCAGCATTATTCGTCTAGAGTGAGTAGCAGTTCATTTTGTAGGTTAAAGGTAAAGGCCCTGGTTCTGGAGTGGTACAAACATAACAATATTAGCTACAGGCCTTAGGTTGTTGAAGTATTAACGTGACACAGTATAGAACTACCTTTAGACTTGATGAGGTTACAGATAGACCAGATGGCTAGTAGCTGAGCCTCTGGGGTGTGACTTTTCTGGGCCATCTCCAGGAACGGCAGCAGGGATCTGTAACACATACTAAATGATTTCTGTTGTACAAAGAATATTCCCTCCAATACCACACCCTCTGACAGAAACCAAAACAACACTAAAATATCAATTACTTATACATTGTATGGGGCGCATAATCACCGACAGTATTTACAGATCAAACTCGCTCACATTCCTCACATTTCCGTACCTACATCATGAACTCACTTCAAACCATTCCATCAATTCATTACGAATTTCTGAAGTTCTTATAAAAAAAGGTGTACATTTTTGAAAAAAAAATGCCTCTCGCTGAATTTTTGGCCTATTCTGTTCCATCAAACTCCGAAAATTATATTAACCAATTATTTCAATATGACATTTTGTGCAAGAATTCCTGTGGCCATACAGTTTTAATGTTTCTATATGGAAGGCAATTATAAACCAACTGTGTTCATAAAAATTCATAATGTCCGAGTATAAAAGTATTTTTCTCATATGCATCGATTGAAAAAGATGAGCAAAGTAAATTACTCAGCAAAAAAAATGAAAAAGACTTTTGTGTCAGCCTTCCTCATTAAAAGGTGACACCATTTACATGCAGATATGACCATTACCAAGGTATCTATAAAATGACTTTTGTGTCAGCCTTCCTCAAATATTTCTGCTAAAGGTCCCTTTGAAATTTGACACCTTTTACATGCAGATATTAACCATAACCAAGGTATACATAAAAAGATCAAAACGGGTGTGGGCTTAATGCAATGACGGTATAGTTGTATGTAGTAGTGGTCTTGTCTCCAGTATCAACTCTCACTGACCTATACAAAGTTCTCATGCTATCGGAGATGTCCCAGCGGTGGACGGCAGTCGCAATCTTACACAGGACAGAAGAACGGTCAAGATTTTCCAGTAGCCAGGCCTCTGGACCATCACTGACCAGGTTAGCCATTACACAGGTTGCCTGGTAACTAAGAGCTTCCTCCATTACTTGAGAATCTGTCAAGTCTCTGAGTTGACAAAACAAAAGAAAAATCAGAAATTAATTTCAAGCCTGGAGACCCATGCAAATAGCGCACTCGCCTTTTACCAATCTCCGATCAGACATGAAAAGGTAGGTGGTCACCTGCCCAACCACATGGGTTATCTACGGGTATTCCAGTTTCCTACCACATAAAGACACTGTGCACGCTTCCATCCGAGCCAACAAGAGTCATTTATATAAGTTGAGATAACTCGTTTCATAAATGTTGTACAATAAATGAATTTATATTTAATGTCAATGATTAAACCATTGGAATCACATTTTAACGAATTTGAGTAAAGAAACAGGAAATCATTCTCCAAATAGGACAAAATACAACACTTACTGAACTAAAATATTCTCAAGGATCCACTGATTATTTAAATTTAATTTGCAAGATTATTTAGGAAAAAAAAAAAAACTGATTCAGTGTAAACATATGTTACACCAATGTTGTCATATTTCAGTTTTGAACCCATACCTTATAATCACAATGAGCTCCTCATTTTGTAGTAATTCCTTCCTTAACTCGGAGACCTCCGACACATTCGCCTGTCAACAAACCACAATATACACAACATACAATAAACAATAACTCGGAGACCTCCAACACATTCGCCTGTCAACAAACCACAATATACACAACATACAATAAATAATAACTTGGAGACCTGCAACACATTCGCCTGTCAACAAACCACAACATACACATCATATAATAAATAATAACTCGGAGACCTCCGACACATTCGCCTGTCAACAAACCACAATATACACAACATATAATAAATAATAACTCGGAGACTTCCCACACATTCGCCTGTCAACAAACCACAATATACACAACATACAATAAATAATAACTCGGAGACCTCCGACACATTCGCCTGTCAACAAACCACAATATACACAACATACAATAAATAATAACTCGGAGACCTCCGACACATTCGCCTGTCAACAAACCACAATATACACAACATATAATAAATAATAACTTGGAGACCTCCGACACATTCGCCTGTCAACAAACCACAATATACACAACATATAATAAATCATAACTTGGAGACCTCCGACACATTCGCCTGTCAACAAACCACAATATACACAACATATGATAAATAATAACTTGAGGTTCTTACATACCGCTTTATCACAACCTAGTTCGTAGGTCGTCTCAAAGCGTTTCAGAAATTTTTATCTGTGGTTATAGGGCCTTTGCAACCAGCCAATATCTTTCTCAACTCCCTGGGGAGCATACAGCCTGTGCTGCATGGGGCTCATAGCTCACATTCAACATTTCTAGCACTGCCCAACCACATACTCTTTTACAGCTGAGTAGACTGGAACATGCGGAGTAAAGTATCTTGCTCAAAGATACAACACAGTGCGGTGCCATGACTCAAACCCGCAACCCTTGGGTCATGAGCTCGGCATCCTACCACTAGACTACGATGCCTCCAGTACTGGTATTTTTCTAGTCAAAACAATTCCTGAGACATGAGGGTACTTGGCAGTTGTTTTAAATTAAACACATCTTGACAGTTTCAGTAGAAACAAATGAACATATTTGACTGACTATAACAGACTTTGAAAAATACAATCTCTACTATTCAAAAAATAAAGAAAAGAAAAACACATCTGTTGCTCAGTGGTTGTGTGTCAACCAAAGGTTACCTTATCGTGAAAACTTGGTTCCTTTTCTTAATTGATTTAATATAAGTAGATATACAATTCAACAATGACAGGACTGACGTACTAGTTGGGAAATTATATTGGCACTGTTTTTGTTGATGTCTACATCATAAATGTATCTTATGAATTGCAAAACTCCTCTATCATTTAAGAAGTTTTTGATTGTTGTTATATACAGTGAAACCTTGATACAATGCCCCTCATTTTATTTGCCACCTCGTTTACCGTCAACATATTTCGGCATCCATTTTTCTTGTTTGTATCTTTACACAATGTAATTATTTTAGACATTTCCCCCAATCTATTGCCATACCCCTTTATAATGCCAAAATTTCTCTGCATTATAAAATGGAAGCATTATATTATGAGATTTTATTGTAAAGTAATTGACCACATGCAGGTCGATTTTCCTTAAAATTTGATAATTACATCTGTATTAGTGAAACTTACACTGTGATGCCAAAAAAACCAAAAACAAAAATTCTCCCTACTTAAAACCTAGATCTCCCTTCATTGTGTTATAAAAGTCATTGCATGTTTGACAAAATGCATACTTTCTTCCATATAGAAAATCAGGAATAAAATAAAATAAAATCATAGATTAAAACAAGATATATTTTTCTTACCATGACACCAAGCAGACCTCTCACAAATGAATCACCATGGTTTTTGTTCTAGAAAACAGAAAACAAACTGCTATTACAAATAAAAAAATGTGTATAGAAAATAAATTTTAACTATGAAACAGAATTGCATTAACGTGGGTATATTCTGATGTAACTGAGCCTCATATTTTGTATGAATTAGTGTCTGACCTTTATGCACTCAAGGTACAGCTCGAGGGCATCTGGCACAGCCAGGAATCTCATACAATTAGAAGGCACTTCATCTGTGAAGGGAAAAATAAACAAAAGAAATTGTAAAGTTCAATCATTTGATTTAAAAAATACTTAACAACTTTTTACGATTTTAAATTATACAACTCCATTTACTTCCAAGTTGACCAATGAGACATCAGTAACTATAGCAGTAAAATTAAATATATAAATGCTTGACCTTTGACCTAACCAAAGCTCACCTGTCAGTCCCCACAGGCACTGCCATGCTAAGTGTGTACAATTGGTTATTTTCCTTCTTGCTATCGACAGGAGGAACTGGAAATAAAAACATCACAAATGTTAACAAGGGTACCGCAAAAGTGTAACATAATACACCTGTCCACATTGAATGAGCAGTTGTCTGTATGCTTGTACATAAAGGGCCATAATTCCATAAATTACAGTTGGACAATGGCCGTTATCAAACTTGTCTGAGCTATCATGGCAATGAACCTTCCTATGAAGTATTAAGTTAATCCGTTGAAAACTTTTTGGCAATTGAATAAAGGGCCATAACTCCGTAAGTTATGGTCCGAATGTTACTGTTATCGCACTTGTCCGAGCTATCATGGAAATGAACTTAAAGTTAATCTGCTGAAAACTACTCCAGATATTGAGCAGACACTGTTTGTGCCAACTCACTCGCCCGCTCACATGATAACATAATAAGTCCCGTCATTTGACATTTGAAGTTAATCAGTAGAAAACTTTTTGGCATTGGAATAAAGGGCCATAACTCTGTAAATCATGATAATATAATATGTCTCGTCATTTGACAGGCATATAAAAATGGAAAGTTTTCTGATTTCTTTTTTACAGAATTATATGACTCCCATTATTATCAGTGTCCTACATTTTTCTGTACATTACCTCTATGAATCTCTGTTGCCCTAAGAAGTCCCTAGATTCATGGTCGCCATAGTAAATAGCAATCCTCATCAGATGAATGGCGTAGGTCTCAAAGGTATGACTGACAAAGACCGTCTTCTCAGAGTTACAGAACTTGTCCAACACACTCTTCATGTACCGCTTCATACTGTAGCAGTATTTCTGGAAAACATTTTAATTAATACATGAATACACAACAAATGTTGGAAAATTGTATTATCAGGTTTTTCTGGACCCATAAGAGACAATATGTTTCAATAACTAGCTAGGCACAGCAGCACGTAAAAGAAATTATTATTTATGAAATACAAAAGCGTGAAACTTTTTATAATATAACAGCAATAAAAAGTTTGTCTGATACAGTTTCTGTTCCATTATTATTATTTGCAACTCATATACCTGTGAAATTGTGTTTTGTTGGAATAACCACGAAACCATAAAATATTACAACAATAGATTACAACATCAATAAATCTAAATAAAACAACTTTTGTAAAATTAGGAAACAGATTTAACTCACAGCATCATGTGGCAGCTTCAACTTCAACAAGATGTTCAGGCAAGCCCTCATGGTCTACAAATCAATTGTAACAGTGTTGTCTTAAATCTTAAATCAATGCGACTTTCTGTAGATCAATATCAGTATATTACATCACTTAGAAGGGTGTTGATAGGTCACTTTCGGGTTAATCTGGGCAGAAGTGCTAATTGTAACAGATATTATTAAGTAGCCCCTAAAACTACCCTATCCACAATCCCAAAAGATGTTGTTTGTAGCAGCTGCACTTTTGCCAAACAAAATTTCCATGGGCCATTAGTACTGAAGTTATAGCTGTAAATGATTTAGCCAATTAATGACCAAAGCAGCCATCTTGAATACTGAAACCTTAAAAAGTCGGTCATTTGATGTAAAGTATACCAGTGTATGTATCCATTCTATAACAAAGGACATAGGACGGCCCATTTTTAGTGTGGAGTACAATGTATAATCTCTATATGTATCACTCTCTCAAAGTATAGACTAAATCAGTCCAATGTAACTGGAGTTATAAACATAAACGTCTCCACGTATCAGAGGCCGCAGCAGCTATCTAGAATCTGGAACCTTAAATATTGTTTGTTTCATCGAAGACATAACTCCCATGAATCAATGTCGCAAGAATGGAGTTTAACAGGAACCTAAGCATGGAATCTGAAATCCCACGTTTAAAACAGTAATATATGGATTATAATCAACCAGCTATTACCATATTGATTTGCATAATTTTGGCATTTTATGACGTGCTGTTACATGAAGGCATTAACAGCATCGGTTACTGCTAACATACTTCATGGTACATGTACTCTTTTCCTTTATACCTTTCCCTCTTTATATCACCAAACCTCTATATAAGGCCAAGTTTTAGATAGACAAATAATGACAGTTCAACAGAGTGAGAACCTACATTTTGATTTGAAGAATTGTTTAAACAAGAAATGGTTGTTTCCAAGATCCTTGCGCGAAGGGACTGTCCCAGACTGGTTGGAATGTCTTTTATTGATGGCGAATCTCGTACCAATAACAGGGCAATACATGAACTGAAAAAGGAAAACATTTAATTACATTTCTTTATGTTTTAAGATTAATTTTTTCTAGGACATTGAAGGACAACACTCCACCTAAACCATAACCAAGCTATTTATTTATTTATTTTTAATAAAAAAATAAAATTCTATGTTATCAAGTTCATGTATATATTTCAGTGTATTAGTAAATGCAAAATCATCAAACACATCTAATAGTACAGTGATCCCACTCCTGTTCAATTCTGAAGGAAAATATTGGTTTGTTAATTGGACTGCTGTCCTAGACTTACCAAACAATATCCTAACGGCAGGGGTTCTGTTTGAATGTCTTGTGTTTACAAGCAATGTGTCTGTCTGACTTGTCTAACCTACTAGCAATGTGTCTGTCTGACTTGTCTGACCTACTAGCAATGTGTCTGTCTGACTTGTCTGACCTACTAGCAATGTGTCTGTCTGACTTGTCTGACCTACTAGCAATGTGTCTGTCTGACTTGTCTGACCTTCTAGCAATGTGTCTGACCTACTAGCAATGTGTCTGTTTGAATTGTCTGACCTACTAGTAATGTGCCTGCCTGACTTGTCTGACCTACTAGCAATGTGTCTGACCTACTAGCAATGTGTCTGTCTGACTTATCTGACCTACTAGCAATGTGTCTGTCTGACTTGTCTGACCTACTAGCAATGTGTCTGTCTGACTTGTCTGACCTACTAGCAATGTGTCTGTCTGACTTGTCTGACCTACTAGCAATGTGTCTGTCTGACTTGTCTGACCTACTAGCAATGTGTCTGTCATTATCTACCAGGGATCAGATTGTCTGTCTTTCTGTCTGTTTGTCCATCCATATGACTGTTCGTCCATCCTTAACTATCAGTAATATGTCTGTCATGACCTACCAGCATGCTGTTTATATGTCCTGACTTTGCAGCATGTTGTCTGTCTGTTATGCCTTACCAGCATGCTGTCTGTCTGGTTGTCTGTCCTGACTTACCAACTGTCTTTCTGGACAACCTCAACGCTAGGATGCAGGTGAATTATCCTCAGTAAATGTTCAATCAACACTGGAGTCTTTCTGTCTAGGTCAACCTGAAAGAAGGGAAAATAAACATATTAATTTTGCATTATTTTGAACAGTTTCTTTAAGATATGGTCACTGGTTGGAAAGTTTTTCAGACAAGGCGAAATGTTATTTTTAAGCGTAAATAGACTGACAAAAACATTAAAGTCATGCTTATAGTAAATATCCATATCAAAATGGAACAAGTCTATGGTGTTACTACGTCCGTGTAAACACGCAGAGGCATGGCTATAATTAGAGTCAAGCTCAATTGTACAGACAGGTCCAGTCAAGATCAATTGTACAGACAGGTCCAGTCAAGATTAATTGTACAGACAGGTCCAGTCAAGATTAATTGTACAGACAGGTCCAGTCAAGATCAATTGTACAGACAGGTCCAGTCAAGATCAATTGTACAGACAGGTCCAGTCAAGATCAATTGTACAGACAGGTCCAGTCAAGATCAATTGTACTGACAGGTCCAGTCAAGATTAATTGTACAGACAGGTCCAGTGAAGATCAATTGTACAGACAGGTCCAGTCAAGATCAATTGTACAGACAGGTCCAGTGAAGATCAATTGTACAGACAGGTCCAGTGAAGATCAATTGTACAGACAGGTCCAGTCAAGATCAATTGTATAGACAGGTCCATGTTGTGAATTTTACAAGGACCCCTGTAAAATCAGCAGATTGTCATATTGTAAGGCTTTATATACTGTAAAAATCACATGCTTTTATACATCTCTTTAATACAGATTTCATTTTTAGGAGAGAAAAAAACCGAACTAAACGCATTAGGACATTTGATATTGAAATTCCTTGAAAAACATACTATTATATTTGTACTCTCACACAAATACATGTTTATAATGATATACATACCTTCTGTTTGGTCAGCTGTCGGTCAGCCATTGACTTATTGACAAACGATGTAAGTGAATACAAAACAGACAGCACCATCCCACTGTTCTCTTTGTACACATCCACGGCTAGAACCAAATTCTCAAGTATCTCAAAACAGGTAAACTGTGGATAAACGACAGGTATATTAATAAACCAGGTAAACAACAACAACAACAGGTACACTATGGATAAACAACAGGAACATTACAAATACAGGTAGACCACCACAACAGGTAAACAAACTATGGACAAACAACAGGTACATTAATAATACAGGTAGACCACCACAACAGGTAAACTGTGGACAAACAACAGGTACATTAAAAATACAGGTAGACCACCACAACAGGTAAACTGTGGACAAACAACAGGTACATTAAAAATACAGGTAGACCACCACAACAGGTAAACTGTGGACAAACAACAGGTACATTAAAAATACAGGTAGACCACCACAACAGGTAAACTGTGGATAAACAACAGGTATATTAATAAACCAGGTAAACAACAACAACAACCGGTAAACTATGGATAAACAACAAGAACATTACAAATACAGGTAGACCACCACAACAGGTAAACTATGGACAAACAACAGGTACATTAATAATACAGGTAGACAACCACAACAGGAAAACTGTGGATAAGTGACAGGTATATTAATAATACAGGTAAACTTTTATGTATTAATATATTCTTAAAGGACAAAATTACTAGTAGAAGAAAACCTCTTCCTACATCAAATGCCCAGCTCATGTATATCTGGATGTATAAGAATCATTCTCATCACTCTTCTCCTCAACCTTGAGTCAAGGAAGGTAAACTTTACTAAAACAATGGCCAATAAAACTATCACATCACACAAAGTAATTCCTAATTAATGCAACTGCAATTGAAATAAGAGTAATTTTTGTTACAATCTTGTACTCCTTTGTGGATTATTTGTCTTTCCTTTTTGTATTTACAAAAACATTATTTTAGGGTTTTCTCAGAATATCAATAATGACAATCTACAATCAATAATCATAATTGGCATGCCTATCTAATCAATCTCTGAAAACATTAACAGTGATGTTTTAAAATGTTTTGATTGTAAGTCGATCTCACCTGCTCGGCTGGTACATTTTCCCAGGTGAACGGAAGTTCATGACAATTACATAGTCCCAGGAAGGAAAAATATTTGTAACCGAAACTTCGACTGATTGTCTTTTCATCCCTGAAAAAAAAATACAAAATCATTACTTTACCTCAAAATATTTTATCTTTAATTGATTACAATCACTGTTTAATCAGTACAGGTGTCTCTGTAATGGGTTTACCAGGTAACATACAGTTAACCTTGTCTGAAGTGAAACTCAAATGAGTTGAATACTGGGATTGTGTAGCAGATTTGGACATGAGAGTACTGCTAGGACCATGCAAAGACATGGATCTGTGAACCACAGCCGAGGACCACACCTATCAGACCTGAGGGAGCTGTCTGGCCTTGGGACTTACTTACTGGTAGGACCAGGACATTTGAATCTCCAAGAGAGAGAGTTAAGGCCACTTAACCCCTCGCGTTGACTGACACAGACCAAAGTCAGTAAAAGACGACGTAAAACACCTAACCAACCAACCAACCAACAAGCAGATTTGGACTGGGTTGATCACTGTGACCAGGTAGCTATGTTTATTTGGTAGAGTATCCGTCTAGGGTTTAGAGATTACAGATGTGAATCCTAGTCTAGTCCGTTGTATTTTTTGTCCTGTTATCTTTACATATCTACCGCCTCTATCTTAATTTCTTTTTGTCTCTTCTCTCCATAAGGTTGATTTAAAGCTTACGAACATTTCTCAGAGATGTCAACCTGTTATATGAAACAAGAAGCCCGATTTGCCCGTTATGCTTACCTGTTATGGATTGGTGTTGGCAAACATAATCTCACCTCTGTGACCTTCAAAGTGGGTCAAGGTCAAACATATTTACACAAACATCTTTTGAATTCACCTGAGTATTGTCATTTATTCGATGGTTTGATAGTCTATCATTATCTATGGAAGTTAAAGTCCAGAATATGTAAAATCATTATCTATGGAAGTTGAAGTCCAGAATATGTCTGTTATTATGTCAACCAATCAGAATCTAGAGGGCATAATCTATATTCGACTAAACTCAATAAAATACTTCAGGAACTGTTTGCATATAAAGCAATGCGAGATGGATGGACAAACTGAAAACAGTATTTCCTGTAAAAAATAAATATCAAAAAAAGTTGAAAAAAAAAATACAGAGTGATATCTAACCTTGGATGTTTGGCCTGATCACCATGTGGGTGCTTGACCTTTGATCCAGCCAAGTTTGTCCCAGAAATATCAAGTGAGGTCAGTGAGGGCAGGCTTTCTAAAAGCTCACTCATACTCTCCTCTGGGGCATGGTACAGCCAGGGTTCCTCATCGACCATTGATAGGTCCAGGTGGCTACAGGTAAAAAAAGATGATATCACTTTATGAAGTCAAATTCTTGTCAAGTTTACTCAATCTTGTCCTATGGTGAAATAGAAGAATGTTTCAAGAAAAGTTATTTTATCATGCTCCGATCAATATTTGTTTCTGCTATGAGCCCTAATCAGAGAGACAGAATATACACAACCAATCAGCAGGACACAGAAGGCCAATTCTGTTTAACTGAGCCTGCAAAGAATACTGTATACTGTAAAAATTTCACCGCCGTTTAGCTTTCGTCTTGTTGCTCCTATGAGGGCATTTTATCATGACAGCAACTATTAGGACACAGTACCATACACAACAGTGTATATAGTCATTAAATGTAAATGGCAAAATTATTACTCGGTAAACGTAAATGTTATCGCCAATGGGCAAATATCTGACAAGGCGAAAATTTCCTGATAAACCAATAACCCAACTATTTTTCATTACTACAACACATAAAAAATTTGAGCTTCTTTGTTTTCCTTTAAGGCCAAAAAAAGTTTATGTATGTTTCAGGTACCCTGACTTACCCTAGTTTTTACCTCCGACCCTAACAATCTTATCTCACTCGAATGCAATTAAACGTCTCATTTAAACACGCCAAAACTTGTAAGTCTCATTATGACATCTCTCTATTTCATAAACCTCATATTACTATTTAAAAGACCTAAACAATATACCGGGTAATAGAAAATGAATACAAGTTGTCTATGCTTGGTGATTTTTGTAATTTCTTAAATTAGCCCCCCACCTACCTTCTTCCCTTCCCCCTCCCACTATTTTCTTCTGTCAGGTAACCTGAAACATAGTTATTTTTTACTTACAATTACACTGTAAAACTTTTATGCCCTGATTATTTGAACATTAAATCTGACATGCAAAGAATACACGTGCACTATACTGTAACTTTCACCGCAGTTAAACTTTTGTTAAAAAACCAGACCAACAAGTATCGTAATTTTACACAGACCAGTCGCATTTGAGTAATGTTAAAACTTATATAACCCACAACTTGATTTCCTTAAATTCTCATTTAGTTTACACAGGTTTCATTAAATCAAATTAAAGAATAAGCAAGTTACCGAAGATTTTTAGCTTTGGCAATTTGTCGAAGGCCAACGCCTAGATCTGTAATTCGATGTCCTGAGAGCCCCAATGATGTCAGCTTTGGCACATTCTCTAGGAACCCAAGGCCGTCCTCTGTCAAACCAAGTCCAAGAAACTGCAGATGTGTGAGATAAGTAAACGAGGTACATATCATTCTGGAGAAAAACGATCTGATATTTTCAGCATCTTTGGGTAGATTTTCATCTACATTAAGAACAAAGCTTGTCAGCGCACAAAATTTGTATTGTTTTACGGCGGTGACATCCTCTTCGTTTCCTGCTGTTGGAACAGTGTTGGTCGTGTCACGGTCTCCACATGATTGAGTAAAGTCCTTATTTGGGTCTGCAAGATCGTTCGATTTGTCGATGTGATACCCTGACGTTCTACAATGGGGATCAAAAGAAAGTCGTAACACTTTTAAAGACTTACACATTTTATCAAAAACCGAAACTGATTTTGTGTTGTTGTAGTGATGATAGAACTGACAACAGCAGAGATCTAAATATTGTAAAGGCTGATTGAAGATTGACTGCGGAAGGGAGGTAGACAGGTCATGTTCTTGTTGCAGTGACACTCGTCTCAGTGGTGTCTTGTTGGGATCGCCAAACAGCGACATCAGCTGTACAAACTCAGCTTTGTTCCGAGTCCGGAGATATCTCCCTATGTAGGCAAATATCATGTTTGATAAATTTGTAGGGAAAGCGGACATCCCTGAAGTATTCTGTACAGTGTTGCATTCTGTTTTCGCTTCATCAGTCGTATTAATTAGTGCTGATCGTGTGAGGGTTTCAATGTTATTTGCACAGTACCTCACACACATGTGGAGCAATGGGTCAGGCGTTGAGGATGAAAGATGGCTCATTTTAAAGATGATTTCTGGAACAAAAATTTGGAATTGTTGAAGATAGTACATAATTTTGTAAAAAGAATTATTTTTGTTTTGAAGATATAAATGCCATTTAACTTCACTTCTTCTCTAAGCATAACAAAAAGCCCATGCGGCCTATAATATGTACATGCTTTCAATTATTAGAAATAGAAACAATTGGCCCATTGGGCCTGTATTGATCATTTGTTGTTTATCACACTGTGACTTTTAGACTAGTGTTTCAAGGTTTTGTCGGAATAGGCTTAATATCATTACACTTCATATCATGGATGTTTCTTGAAAGATTTTATTCATCGAGACCTTATGAATCTTTTTTGGAGGATTTAAACTTATTCTGCTAATTATGTGACATTCAAAAGCGGTCTCATTCAGATCCCCTTCTTTACAGTGCTTCACACCATTCAGCTACAGGGCAAATATCATAACTCTAGAATTCTTGATTATTCAGAAGAACTTATTTTAAGTTTTTTAACATATTTGACCCTTGTGACCTTAAAAGTAGGTCAATGACATTATTTGGAACAAACTTGATAGCCCTTCATCCTAGCATGTACTAGATGAATGTCATCCTAGGCCTCTGGATTATTTAGAAGGTGTCAGCTGGAGGTTTTCATTATTTGAATCCTGTGATCTTGGAAGTAGGTCAAGGTCAAATATTTAAAGAAAATTGAACATCCATTATTTCAGCATGCTACTGGACAAATATCACCAAATGCTTCTAGGTTCTTCTGAAGAAGTTTTTTTTTTAATTGGAATTTTGCGAGCTTGAAAAAGGACAAGGATCATTCATTTGAACAAAATTTTAAAAAACTTCATATCGGCATGTACATGGTACTGGCAAAAATATCATCACCCAATGCCTCTTGATGAGTAGGAAGAAGTTGTTAAAAGCTTAAATAAATTTGACCTCTGTGACCTTGAATGTGGGTTAGGGTCATTCATATTAAACAAAATGAATAACTTGTCAAACAAACATGCCACTGGCACAATAACACAACCCTATGCCTCTTGTTAGTCAGAAGAACTTGTTTTAATTAATTTCTAACAAATTTGACCTCTGTGATGGTGATCAACAAAGTTGATAGCCCTTCATTCCTGCATGCTGTTGGCCAAATATCATTATCCTTGGTCTCTTTGTTATTTGGAAAAAGTCATTTATATTAACAACAGATCCCAGAGGGATCTTGGCACCAACTATCGTACCATCTTCATAGATCAGAACATCATACTGCTGTTTATGACATATGCATTGTTCTTTCAAAGTGAGGTTGTCGTTTGACCTAGTCATTAGCACAGTACTTAACTGTAACAAGGGGAACTTAAATTTGAAATTTGATAAAGGTCTGTCTAGCACTTCCTAGGAAAGAGTGGGAATAAACTGGAACTGTGGAAATCCAAGATGACAGCCTGTCAACCATTTTGTTTTCCTGATCATTGATCAAACTCAAAATGAAACATTAAATTTGATAAAGTTGTGTCAAGTACTTCTTAAGAAAATAATGACATAATCATACCATTTCAAGATGGCTATCTCATGGCCATCCTTTTTTTCCAATTAGTCTCATAATGAAACATGCATAATGATAGACATCGAGAACCTACATGTGAAATTTGAAAAAGATCACTCCAGCACTTTCTGAGAAAGAGTTCTAACGAGCTCCAATTCTTGAAAATTCAAGAAGGCTGCCTGTCAGCCAGCTTGGTCAGTCCGAAATTTAATATGCATAATTACCATTGGAAACCTACATGTGAAATTCAAAAAAGATCCTTTCAGTATTTCTGAGAAAATTGGCTCACAAAATTTAAGTAAAGTTCAAGATGGTCACCTGTTTACCAGCTTGGTTTTCTAATCAGATCCTAAATTTGATATGAGTACCTTGCGACCGTGGGGAATCTTACTGAAATTTGAGAAAGATCCCTCCAGTACTTTTTGAGAAATAGCGTTCACAAACTGTTTCTTTCAAAATTCAAAAGGTACAATTACTAGACCATCCATCTCGAGTTTGGCGTGTCCTGGGTTGGAATCCCTGTCTGGCTGTGCATTTTTCATCTTCTGTTATGGTGGTGACTGTGACCAACCCTTTTTTCAAGTATCGGATGTACACATGGAAATAGAATACCCGAATCTGGGTTGTAAAGTGTTTGTTCAGGGGAACAGATTTAGAACAACGAGGGAGGAGTGTAGCAGAACTAGACTGTGTCTATTCCCGGCAACCAGGAAGCTCAATTGGTAGAGTGATCGTCTAGTGATCAGAGGCCCCCAGGTATTAGGTACCAATACTGGTCTGGTCGTGCATTTCTCTTCTCCTATTACATGTACGTGTATGTACAATGCATGACAGACACTTTGGCATATGTTATGTCTCATATGTTCATTGCTGCCCCACACGCCACTGGGCGTAATGGGCAGTAAGTAAGTAAGTAAGTAAGTATGTCTCATATGTAGATGAGGTCTTTGATAAACTTTTCCAAAATCAGTTTTATATCTACCTGGTATTTAGAATAAACTTTAACACTATTGTCATAAATATTATGAAAACTTAAATTTAATAAAAGTTCCTTGTGACTACCCTTTCGACTGCTTTCAGCCAGGCACGTCTAAAGCACTTAATTTATATTCATAAGCCAAATTTTACTGAGGTAAGCTTCGGTTTAGATCCATGTCTGCCTTTTTCTTTCAGGTTCAGTTGGATGACTTGGTTGAACCAGATATGTGATAGCGGCCAATTTGTTTCCATAAACCATAGCCTGTGTTTCCTCTAGCCCTAACACCAGACTTAGACATTTTGACATATATAGATGTCTGGTGTGGGGCCAGAGCGCACTCCTATATGAAAACGTGGAATTCTCAGACACCATTTGGTATCAGTGTTATAAGGTGCTGACAACAAAAATCTACTATGACACAACACATACCTCACATACATAGATAAATGATTATTTATTTTATCAAACCCGTCTCAAGCAACAGACCTTCAACGTGGCGCTCCAAGATCTACAAGTTATCAACACTTCCAGCCTCTTTTCTCCATCATCAGTGTTATTTCTAAACGACAGACCATTTCCGAAATATTCCGAAAGTAATACATCTCAGTCGATTGAACGCTTAACTGACCGCGCGCTTTCCTTTGCTTGGCATCCTGCTTCCGCAGAATAATACCAAGAGATAGGAAGCATATTACTAATTTTTATTTTATGTTTCTTTTATTATGTTGTTATATAATCAATATAATTAAAAGTCACCGTATTTGTGGTGCTTTAATCACAAATTAGTTTGAGCAAAATTTCAATGAACTACCCAACACCAAATATAACAGGTACAGCCATTCACGTTGGAGGCAATCTGTAAGGGTACATTCGCGTATCCGGTTAAAACGGTTGAACCTGTAAAGAAAACGACAGGGGGTACCTGACCGAAACTAAAATGCTGACTATTGCCAATTTGCGTTATTTCTTTCTTAAACAATGTCAAGCCACATGTAGTTTTTAAGATAAATTATGTAATTCAGTGGACGCGTGGGAGAAGGGCATTTTCTGTAGATTCAGCTGATAATGCGCGCGAATCTACATGTACATGTAGTTTAGGCGAGCATTTTGGCAATTTATGCCGGATTAGTTTATTTTGTCATAAATATGAATTATGATTTAACTGTTTGTCTTTTATTGTGAAATAGTATGCATACACAGTGGCGGACCCAGGGGTATTGTCCTAGTTGCCCGGGCAACACCCTTTTTTCTGTGTCCAAAAATAATCTGGACACCAAGCTTAAGGTTTTTGAAGTTTTTCCTCTATTTCATACGGAATTTCCTTCTAATATCAGTCATCCTTTGAACTATGATTTTCTATGGCTTCCGTTTGCCAGCAGTTTGAATATCTATATATGCTTTTTGGACACAGAAAAAAATGGTGTTTCCCGGGCAACTAGGGCAAAACCCTTGGGTCCGCCACTGTTGACAGTATGGTAATATCAAGTTCTAAACCCCTGTACGAAATTTACCAACTGGGTAAGACAAGGAATTAGGCTAATCCGTGTGGGTTTATCATTAAATATATGCCTGAATTTAATTAAAGCTTCATGTAAGAATATTTATGTAGGTTTAATCCGTCTGTATTTTTGAAACCTATACGCATGATGCAGTAGGAGACCGCATGGAAAACGGACGTACCAAGGTGTATCCTGTGCCGCTTTCGTTTATTGCGATCCAAACGGTTAAACCGGTTGGACCAGATCAGAGTTGTTCGTTTATTGGGTCAGACCTAATCGTGCTTTCAGGCGAGCCCTGGCAAAGCCTTGCAAGGCCTGCATAAACATGTGCTGGTCCTCCAGGATTTAACAGACGAACCAGTTGTTTCGCATATTTTAGAAACATCCTTTGTTTCTGTAATGCAAAGAATATGAAAATTAACTATATACACAAATCTATATGGTTACGTAAAAACATAACCTTGCACAGAATCAGTATCAAATCAGACGATTATTCATGACATTATTCGTATTGGTTATTTATTTAAGTTTTTATCAGGCGGACCTGTAAATGTTTATGCATGTCTTGCAAGGCTTTGTCAAGGCTCGCGTGAAAGCAGCATCTGATTACTAGGTCCGACCATAATTATTTCATAAATGAACAACTATGGTCCAACCACAGGGGCTCGTTACAACAGTTTGGATCGCGATAAATGAAAGCGGCCAAGGCTAAAGCATATAATTTTATTTTGGTGGTTATGCAAACACACTAACTATCTGAAAGGACTGGGAAAAGTATTAAAATTGTTCGACTGCCCAGAATTGCACAGGTACATATATACCCCGTGTTCAGTTTTCGACGGTCATCTGTTTTCGACGGTCGTTCATTTCTGGGTCGCGCGCGAGCTTGCGGGTCATGTCAGGGGTCACGGAGGTTATGTTTTGACGCCGGCACACTTACAACCATTCTCAAAAAAAAAGTTTGAAAAATGATTATCCGTGCGGTAAGTAACTTCTATATTTACCGCAAAGTAGTGTTTAAACCCCGTTTTGCATAATTCCAAAAGTACACCAAGTTCAACACCCTTAAAGACCCATTAATAACCTGAAACTGTTTGTGACTTCTCGTCTGCTTTGCTGTCATACTGCGCCTTCGAAATCACATGACAAATGTGGGTGGAGACTAAGTTCGAAAAAAATGAATGTAAGCCACATGTTTTCATGGTAAAAAAAACCCACCTCATTACATTTTACTTTGTCATACCACCATGTCATAAATATGGTATTACACACGTGTAATAAAACCTAAAGGTGCTGTAATTGGTCAAAACTGTGGGAACATATTCCTCCGCGACTACAGGTACTACTTTTATTTACTATACCACTGAAATTCTGGAATTACTATGATTGGAGAACATCGAGTCAGCTGTAACATAAAATTGTGTTTGATTCTTATTTTTTCAACTTTAAGTTATGTGATAAAAAGAATCTTACACGAGTGTCGATGTCATATTGCATTGATTCAACTCGTTCAATAAGTTCAATATGACATAAGCACTCATGCAAGACCCTCTATGTATTGGCACAGTTTTAGTGGGTTTTTTTAGTAATTTACCCATTTTTTATTTGCAGTTGTTGCAAAACTGTCCAGATAAGACTCACTTTCTGAAAAAGAAACGAAAATAAACATTGAAAGACAGATATATTAAAATAAATAGATGAAGGTAACTTTCTCAAGAAATTACAAGAAATATGCAAAATTAAAAAGGGGACGTAATCCATCTCATCTTGCGTCACCCTCCCCCATCCACGCTACTCACATTCTCCTCGAATTATAGCATACATTAAGAAAGGTCATGACGTTTTCATCACCCATTTTTCTATATTTTCTCGCAGATGATGTGTATTGCTTCCACAATACATGTTATTCAAAGAAGTGAAGACTTCGAACTGCCAAAGATAAAATGAAATATATCAGAAATGATTTAATCAATCAAAATGTAACGACTTTTAGAACAATCTTGATCACACTGTTGGCTTCAATACATCTTGAGTAGAGCCTATTTAAGATTATAGGTTGAAAGTGTTGTTTCCAACAAAAAAAATCACTAAAAATAAACAATTAGGAAGCAAATATTTAAAACATAGCAAATCGATGCAGAGAGCTAATCAAGATACGCAGTTTTACTGCGCAATATATCCATTTTGTGGTCCATTTAAGACACATTGATGGTGCTTAAGGCCAAAAGATTGAAATTCCATGTCTGAAGTGTTCCTTAATGTGTGTAGAAAGTAACTTGAATGGGAAGGGTGCATATATATAGCCCTTGACAACGTTACACATTTAAAGCTTTTGACTGCAACAGATAGTTAATTCCAGCTGAATTATAGGGGGGGTGATTTTATTGGTAAAAATTTAAAGTAAACTACATTTTTAGAAACTGTAGATTTTTTGTGTGTGTCAGAAGTCTGTTGTCCATCACTGTCAGCTTGAAGATGGGCGTCTTGAATTGAGGTTTATTTTTCAGTTCGTAGATAAAATGATAAAGTATTTGGTCACGCCCCGAAATTAATCTCACGTCAATCAAAACGAGTGGGGTGATTTCGGCAGCTAATCAATTTCATTCAATTGTGATGCAGTACTGTGGAGCATGCGCATACGTTTCTTTGTCGGAAAGGAAGGCAGCCATATTTGAAAGTTTGAATGTTCGAAATTTGAAGAAGAAAAACGGCAGTAGGTATGAAAAAGAAGGAAAGAAGAGGTAAAAATATCCAAGGAAAGCATAACCGGGGAATTTTAAGTTAATGTCTTCCATTTTCTCCAAAAGTATTGCTGTTTCGTTTAAGTTATAAGATGTTCCATTTCCAAAACATTGGAGATTAGTTGGACAAGCAGATGCATTTCTCAACGAAATATGTACTAGATTTCGATTGGCTTAAAAAAAGTTATGTTTACATATTAACTGTTTCATACTATTCCACAAGATTTGTATCCCGTCAATATCCAACGCATCTCATAAACTGAACGTTCCTGCCAAAGGCGATACCATGCTTCAATAGGGATGCATGTCTTGTGACCAGATTAGTATGGAACAGTTTCGTTTAATTTGACAAGCTAGCCATAACTCATTAGAGTTTCCTGAACAGCTGTCTTTTCCTTGTACATTTGTATTTATATTGCATACATATATTTCTGGTTTTATTTTTGCAAATATTACCAAAATGTTTTAATTAATACACACTTCTTTCTGCACGTAAATTGTTCATTTGTACATGTCCATTGAGTAAAAAGGCTTCATAATGAATAACAAGAATTATTATTTTCTGTAGCTCCGAATAAGCAAGATGGACGTTACTTGAAACAACCATTGACTTTCGCCATTGAAGAAAACCAGGAAGCCGTAATGTTGGAACTGAGAGTGACATTTGTTCTATATAAGAATTATTAAGTTCTGCGTTTTTGATTACATAGCATTCACGGCGAGGAAAAAGTCATATGAAACATCATGGAATCTCATATCATTACGTGTACTTCGGTAAAGATCTGTTAATACCGTTGACCCGTGGAAAATAATATGAAAATTAAATTAGAAGAAAGAAGATCGGCGTGGTTACATCAGAAGGTAAGTGCGTGTTTTTGACAATAATGGTAAACTTTACAAAACGAATTTAGGTCATCTGAGACGAAGTACTTGCATGGGGCGGTGTCTCACGTCCGTCCGTCCGTTAACTTTTCAACTGCTTCAAAAACACCCACGTATATACATTTGTATCTCAACTGAAGGTTTTTTAAATGGATGAAGGTTAGGCCTCAGAATTGCATTAAAACATGCGGTATTCACACATAAATTGTTTGATACGGTCACACAAGACTTTAATCTTTAATATCAAATAATGCTGGTCTTGTAATTAAGACTAGTATAGAATTGCATCGTTTATTTTTAAATTTGGCTAGCTAGCAAATCATTGAAATTTCCAAAATCGTTTACGTTCGTATATGCATCAATATAAACTTTTCTTTTTTTTAATGTTTTTTTCTTTAGAACCGAAAGAACTTTAGCCATGATATTTAAGCTACCTAGGATAAAGTGCTATTAGATATCAACAAAT